GTTATGTCAAGACTGACGATATTCCAATAAACATCGCTACTTATTTTAACCAATCAGAAAGGAGCAGTGTATGTGTGGTGGTTCTTACTCTGACTTCAGCGACTGGGCCGTTGAGCAATCGGCTGAAGTCCCAACTCATCTGCCGTCTATTGTCTTCATCCCCGATCTTCACACATAGCCCAAAGTCAAGTCAGTTTATGGTGCTCTTGCTAACTCTTTATAACAGTGCTTTGGAACTAATGTGTTGGGACCACATGGGGTATACAGTGGATTTAATGGAACTGAAGAGAATGGTACCCAGTTGTATGCACATGTTTTGCCTGAAATTTATAACTAACGTATCTGTAAAGCTATGACATATATGCATATGTGATACGTTAATACACATATATGTAATTAGAACACATTCTCATTACTTTGAATGTTAGCACATACTTATTTAAATGAAAATATAGTTTGTATCAAGATGTGAAATGGACAAATATGGAGAAAAAAATATATTTTTTTGTTACCTCGATTTAGTAAATCGTTCCCTCGAATTAGTAAATCCTAGCCTCGAATTAGTATATCGTACCCTCGAATTACGAGACGCTTTAACCAGAGGGCATATTCGTCATATGGTCCCAACTTTGTATGGCACTTAGACTCCTATGATAAACTGAAACCTTTCGAATTTGTATAAATTGATCAATCGACGGATATTCTCGACAAATACTGGGGCTAAATGCGTACAACAGGGACACTTGTGTAGCATGTCCACACATAATTCCTGTCTTCATTTGTTAAATGCCTGCTTTGTCTCATTATTACACAGGGATCAGACAGAAGGAAAAATGTTTTCACAAATAAACACATGCATATATAACAGGTCTCTCCACATGTGTAAAATGTAATTATATGTATATTAAACATTTCTGATGCTCCAGTCAACATCTCAGTGCATTTAATACACTGCATTCATGAACAAAACTGTGTATTTAATAGTGCATAAACAGTAAATAGTGCATTATTGTTTTGTTCTACAAAGCCATTGCATTTTAATTGTGATTGACCACTGTCTGAAGCATAAAGGTGTTGCTTTACTTTTGTGCAATTGGTGGTTTGACTCTGTGCCAACTGAATTATGCTTGCTGTATAATATCAGTTTGTAAGATGGGCAGGCTGTTAAAACCAGGACATACTGTTATATTTGTTCCATGACCCTGTGTCCATGAATGATCAATAGGGTAGCAATACATAATTCGAAGGTACGATTTACTAAATCGAGCGCACGATTTACTAATTCGAGGGTAGGATTTAGTAATTCGAGGGAACGAAATAATATTTTTTTCTACTGTGACACCTAAAGGGCTCCGTAGTCATGTAAATTATCCATTTAGACGATAATTATCCTACTACCTTCTTCCGGCTGTGCCCATTCCCATAGCCTACGGGTTAGACACACGGCGGCGACGGCCAGTCCGGCTGCGCAGAGCAATTTTTCTGATTTTACACTGTTCAAAACTTTTAGGATCTCCATCTCTCTCTCGACTGCTGTCAGCGACGAAATGACGACTTCTTTGCTGCGCTCGTGATTAAATAGTTCTCGGCTGCGCTGTCACTGACGTATTCGTTTATAGAATCTAGAACGTCGGACGCGATTTGACTTTTACACATTTAAATGATGCGAGACTACAAGGCTGTTGAACGTGAAGTGCACATGCAAACATTGAAATATTAATTAAAATTCCCCCGTAAAGAAATGTGGAAAACCAAGGGGTGTTGCTTGTTTTTGTTGAAATATACTATATATTCCGAAATATAAATCCAACTTTTCCGCTGTGTAATAGTTAAGGTTTAAACACGAACCGCTTCCTGGAATATTTCAGTATAAATCCGCATATCCCCACATACATCATCAAGCGGGAATACCAGGGAGGTATACCCGAAAGTGGTTTCCAATCATCAGGGGCGTTGCTAGAGATTTTGGGCCCCATGAAAGCATATCATATTAGGCCCCCCAGTCCAAACCAATCCAGTTATTTTCCTAATTTTTTAGGGCCCCTGTCACTCAGGGGCCCTTGGAATCGTCCTAGCTTTCCTCCCCCTTACGGCACCCCTGCCAATCATCGTCACCTTCCTTGTCCCTTCCGGGGCTCCGTAAATTCATGTATAGGCTAAGGAATCGGATCACTGGTCACGGAAAAGCGCGCAGCAAAGTTTTTTTTTTATATTGCAATAAACGAATACTAAGCGATGTCTATATATTTAATGATTAGCCGAATAGAGTTCTAAATCGATAATCGGTGATTCTAAACTGTGCAACCAGATTGAAGTACTTTGCTGCGGTAAATTTTATGAATGAAACTCTACATTTTAAAGTAAGTTAAGGTCAATTAACCTTATTGATTCTGCATACAGCAGCGAGGTACATAAAATGCAGAAATGTAAACATATAGTACAAAACGACAACATATAAAACAAACACAAAGCAAAATATTGAAAATAATAGTGCATAACAAAGTGCAAATCGAATACACAAACGGAAAATCGTGCAGAATATAGCTCGGATAATTAGATTTATTTGATAGATTGACTCAGTCAGTTAGTCCAGGGGTGTACAGCATAGGAAAAGCCCAGTGCTAACATGAGCCAGAAATTGCCTGTATTGCACCTGCACATTTTCCTAACTTGATTTTCTGGAAATGGGTAAAAACTCCTTTAATGAACATAACCCACTTAACACAAGGAAAAGGGTCATGTAATCCTCACAGCTGGGATCTGGGAGTGGTATAGTAGCTTAGTGGGTAGCCCTGGTGCCTCTCAGATGTAGAGTTTGGGCTTTCGGTCCCCCTCTGCTGCATGTGTGAAGATTGCATGTTCTTCCCAGTCCACAAGCATGCTGTTACTGTAAGAGTCTGCGATGCGCTGGCATCCCATGCGAAGTGTATCTCTACCCCTGCCATGCAACTTGGGGTGGCCAAAGCTTCCTCTATTAAATACTTAGCCTCCCCTGTTGCCACCCCACGTCAAAATAGTAAAACCAAAATATTATGTATACGTGTACCTCCCAATTTTTAATTTGGCTTCATTCGTTCCCCCAAATAAATAGATCTTTGCATTTCATTTTTTAAGCTGCCCCCACCCCCTTTCCCAGTATCAAACTCTTTCCTCCACCACTGGGTGCAGAGTTGAGAGCTGAGGTGGAGATCATCGAGCAGATGAGCAGTAGCAGTAGTGGGAGTGGCTCCTCTGAGTCCGGCAGCTCCTCGGGGAGCGGAGACGACAGCTCCAGCAGCGAGGAGGAGCAGGAGACGCGACACACGCACCCATCTCCCAACCGCAACCCCGTCGCCAACGGCACCACCAGGCCGCAAGGCAGTAACCAGCTGATGAGCACGCTCAGTAAGTACCACCCAGGTCTGCCGGCGGTGCCCAGCATCTGAGGCCACCAGGGGGCACTGTCTAAGCTAATGCAGAGCAGCCAGTTTGTGTAAACTGCAGGGTTGCCAACTCACACTTCTTGCGTGACACTCATGCTCACGTAAGAAATCTTACAGAAAATCTATTTTATTCCATTACAGACCTAAAATTAACTTTATCAAAAGTGTTGGGGTAGTTTGTAAACTCTACAGACTATTTACAAGGTAACAGAACTGTCACATACATGTAAATGGGTGTGCATGTGTGTGCAGATTTTTCTCGAATTGAAAATCTCACTACAGCCCGCTGACCAAAGTTGACAACCCTGAAACTGTCGATTGAAAATACAGTTATTCATAGCTTTAATTTTGGGTATCCTCTTACAGAGGCAGGATGTTTTCTATATTGCTATTTACTCTTACAAGGAGAGAAGTTTTTCTATCAAACTGTTTTTTGTCAAAAGAACAAAGCGGTAGAACCAGTGTTCTAAATTTATCAATATCCCTACAGAATGCTTTTTAAAATTGTGCGTCTGTTCTTTACCATAGTCTTGGCCCATAGTTTCATTTGGATTTCATAAAAAACATATTTAAGTAGAGCTTTGGAAATTGGCCTAAGACACAGTGCCCTCCAGTGATAATGAATTATGCGAATGAGTGACAGATGCTGATGCATGGAAATGACTTTAACCCTGTTTTCAGTCTTAGAATATGCCACATACTCTGCAGTTTATTAATGGACCTTTTTGACATGAGACCAATTTGACAGCACCACTTCAACATTCAGAGCTGGAGGTCTTCCTGAACTTCACGTAGATTTGTTAAGGATGGCTCTGGAATGTTAACAGCAAGGAATCTGGCATGTTGACGATGGCACCATGTTTGGTTTGTCATAGGGCTGGGCGATATCGATACACTGTAAAAAAAAAATAATCATCCTTCCAATTAAAAATTCTTAAGTAACTGATTACAACAGCACTTTTGAGTTAGCCCAATGTTTCAGTTGCAATCACAGAATCTTAATTAGACAGAAATGCTATAATGTTGGACTAACAAATACATTTACATTGGCTCAACTAAAATGAACTAATATTGCCAACATCAATTAATTGTTGTAATATGAATTACATAGTTATCTCAACATCTTGTGCATTTGTCATAACTTAAAAAACTATCCTGGAAATACATAACTAATTTCAGCAAATGATAGATTTATTAGCTGAATTAAAAGCTTATTATTAAGGAAACACAAAAGGGACAATGCAATCAGTTAAGAAACTTTAATATGTGTGGCAGTGATGAAATGTCACAAATAATGTGTGACCCTAACATTGTGGACTTACTGTTAAACCGAACAAAGCACTCATTAACAAATATTATTTAGTGCACTGAAATATGAAATATAAAACAGTAACAAGTTTTAGAAGTATACAATGTTCTTTAAATGACAACAGTATGTTTGAGTCTCCCATGTGCAAACAAACAAAAAGCTTCACACTATAACAGTGCAGCATATCCTGTCTAACTGTGTACCGGGGGTTTAAAAAAAAGGAAGAAAATCCTTTCCTGGGGGTGAGGGACGACTTTGTCCACAGACATTACACATGGACAGCTTTTCAACTTGAGTCTCCCAGGCACAAAACAATAAGCAAACAGAAGAAATACTATTCAAATAAATTATAAAATATTATCACTATAAAGTGTTGCATGTATTATCTTGGGAGATAATAAAGAGGAAACCCATCTACAAACAATTTCATATTTACAGTCTTTCACATTTCAGGAGTATATTCTTCAGTAACAACACTCTATACGAGTATGAGTCTCCCAGATGCAAGAACACCTTCTGGACTGTCTCAAAAGTATATTGCAGTCCCTTTGGGTATTGAATGTTTAGACTGTAGAGAAGTCCAACAAGAATCGCAAATGCACTGACAAAGTCCGCAAGCTCTTCAATAACAGGCTGGGTGACCTCAACGTTATTTCTATCTAAAATTTCCACAATTTCCTTTTTGATTTGACTATTTGAGAGTGACACGATATCATTTAACCCTTCAACAATCTGTTTAGCATGTAGTATGTTTTGACACATGAAGAACAGTCTGTATACAAAGCAAAAGAGATGTGAGTTTGTGTTCTACTGCAGAGTTAAAAGCTTCACTGCAAATTACATCTCCACTTTCTGCAATATCAAAAAAAAAATAATGCATTGCGTCAAGACCAGAATGCATTGCTTTAAGCCTGCGCTGTAAGCGGCTGCATGAAGTCCAATACACCCAATTGCTCATTGCATCACATCAAATTCATTCTAGATACGCTGGGTGGAGCTAATGCCGGCAGACAGTGGAAAGCTGCCCAGAAAGAGGCATGATTGGTCCACAGTAACATCTTGATTCCTTCTCCACAGGAAATGACCTCCAGCTGAGCGAATCAGGAAGCGACAGCGATGATGACTGAGTGACCCCCGGCCAGCCCGAATGGTAGCCCGCAGCCCCCAGACCGGCAGCCCAGCTTTCCCAGATTTTAAATATGCCAAACGCTGCTTTTGAGCTGTTTTATAGTGTATTTTCTTAGCTGGTCATTTTGTTTTATATATCTGAGTTTAAATCCTTCTACAATGGAGTATGTGGGGGATATATATTGGAAAATATAATCAAAATTATTTTATTTAGTATGACATATTGTATCAGCTTCTCTTATTTTTGCTACCATTATTGCTACTGTTTCTAATATTGTTATATTTTAATTAATATTGTTTATTAGAAGAAATCTGATTGCGTCATCATGCAGTTCTAATGAAACCAGTTAGTCCTTATCCCCTTTCCCTTATTTTCAGTCTAATTTTTCTTTTTTATTTTTGTCTGACTTACTGTTCAGCCTGGTGATATACGTATTTTAAAAGTCACATCTACATTTTTTCGTTGCATTTTACCCGAAATGCTACCCTACCTAGAAAGTGTTTGGGACATAAAAGTTCTAGATACTTCATTTGGGCTCTGCCACTGGTCCGCTGTGCCGGCTCATCCTCTGTTGCCACGGAAACTCTTGCGCACACCCACACACACACACACAAACACTCTATCCCTCAAATAATCTAACGTATCAATTTTGCTGGTCAAACACTAGCATCAAACAATCGGACCAAGTTAGTAAAGTCAAGTGCTTGAGTTGAACTGTTTTAACTAACATTTAAATTACATTTCATGTAACTTGAGTATAATCTGACAAACTGCCACTGTGACTTCCCCGAAGCGTGTATCTATTCTGTCGTTTGTATATCAGCATAACACTGTTACCACTATATTTGCTCTGTATAACAGAAGCAGTATATTTATTTGACGAGGTATTGGAGTCATCCGACTGACGAGTTATATGGCGTTTTAGTGTGTGATGAATACCACAGTCCTGTCCTCCCAACATACATATCTACACAAATGATCTAAATATGTTATTGCAGTAAAGGGCATTTTAAGTGTTACATCTACTTCCTTCCCCCATAATTTACAGTGTAGCATATCTGAACCCTATAACTCCTATACCGCAAAACCTACGTCACCCTATGTACTGGAGTGTGTTGCTTCCTCAAAGGTTTATTTTGGATGTTTTTGTGTTTCCCGCGTTTGGAATGTATTAAAGCTACGATAAGTCCATGAGACTGCTTGTTCATTCCACCATCACAAAATAGACCCCGCCATCAGTTCCTGGTGAGCTGCAGCCAGAATGCTGGGTGCAAGGTGAGGGACACCTGGACAGAATCCCACTGACACAGCCTGTTACTGATTTCACTCATGTGACCTGACCTGTGCCATAGAAAGTCCTGCCAGCTGCCGTCCTGAATTTTCCTCAGTGTTTTTCTGATATGTAACGTAGTCCACACACCTCAAATGTTCTAAGTTTTTCTCTGACAATGTACTATATGTATTTGAAATGGATGATTCACTGGAGAGGAAATATACTGTTAATAATTATAAAATTATAATATACATTGCTTCACTCAAATTACTCATCCGTCATTGCAAAGAGTGCAAATTCTCCTGTGTCAGAGACCCACATATTATCAGTGGCAGCATACATGGTGAATGGTACTTGCTGGAGCGAGTGCTTAATCCAGGACATTTACCCAAATTAATATGCTGCATATTGTAATGTTGTTGAGCTACAACACGCACAATATTGTGTGCAAGTCTGTCCAGTTTAAATGTACACCATCTGATGCTCTTATACTCCTAGATTTAAGCCCAGCTAGGTAGGACCCACTTTTTAATCATATTTATCTTATCATTTGCCTCCAGAACTGCTTGAAGGGTAGACAAGGTGTGTTTGCACATAAGCCTTTCTGCAAATCACTGTTGTACTGAGTTGTTATTTTTGCACTTGTGTCCGTCCTGTTAGCTGTAACAAGTGTGGCCGTTCTCCTCTGACCTCTCTCGTTAACATGCTAATTTCAGCCACAGGAACGGCATTGCCAGGATACTTTCTGATCATCACACTTCCCTTTAAACTCTACACACTGTGAGGTGCATGAAAGATCTCTTCAAGATCTCTTAGATAAGGCACCGCACCTTGGCCTAATCCAAACAGTGAGAAATCCTCTTGTCTCCACCCGCACATTGAACCTTCTCAATCACTGTTTGGAGGAGCAGGCTGTCTGCATAAGCATCCATACTGTATGTATCTAAACAAACTGGTCAGTGTGTGTGTTTGTGAGTTAACATTGCCTTCAATTCTTACATTTTTTTTCTGTACCTTAAATGAAATATCTAAAAGAACAATAGGGTAAGAATATAGTGGAACAGTGTGCAGTACCGTTATCTCACATTCCCCTGTCCCCTCGGCATTTCCTGCAGCTTTCCCCCTGCAGTCCAAAAACATGCAGTTAGGCTAATCGACATCTCTCAGTTTCCCATGGAGCACGATCAGGTATGTGCACCTTGTGATAATCTGGCATAATCCGCAGGGTGCACCCCAGCCCCCTGTCCTGTGCTGCATGAGGTCCAACCCCCCTTTGTGATGCTGACCATGATAAGTGATTAATGCATGGAACCAGGATGGTATTAGTTTTAATATTTCCTTCAGGCAAGTCTATTTTAAGGTATGGCTGTGCATTTGTTTGTCTCTTACTATGCCTTAAAATGTTAAAAATAAAGGCAAGTGTGCTGTAAGGCAGGGGGAAGTTAGGACAATTCCAAGGGCCCCTGAGTGAAAAATTGGAAAATAACTGGATTGGTTTCGACTGGGGGGCCCAATATGATATGCCTTCATGGGGCCTTAAATCACAAACAGGTGTGTTGTACCTGAAGGTCTAGTGTTTCCAATGAAGTTAAAAATAACCAGAATTTATTTCTTTTCTTTTGTCTTATTAATTTTATTTAATCCTACGTCGTTTAATGGCGCCTTATTTTATGTCATTAAAATCACAATTTTAGCATCAACGCGCCAAAAAATGCTATTGGGTTGCAGGGCAAAGCTAGCTGGAGTCCCTGTCTGCCAAGAGGTTCATAGCTCCATGGAGGGTGTAACGCTAAAGATCATTTTGCGTGAGATGCACAGGACATCTGAAAAAAATAATTCATGTATCCACACGCAGGGCTGGTATATAGCCAGTATCTCTTAATGCGCGCTGCCGACGCGGTACTGAACCCATAGGAGACGCTGATCGTAAGAGGCGGAGCGCGTCGGAAGCCACTCGGCGTCCCCACAACGGTTTGTCTCTCAAGTGTCCGGAACGGTAGGCGGAGGATGGAGTTCGAGCAGCTGATCGACACAGCGGAGGAGTGGTGCTCCGGGAACCCCTTCGAGCTCATAGCCGCGGAGTGCAGTGACGAGAGGCGCCTGGATTTCTATGCCGAACCACGGTTCTCCTTTTACGTCTTGTGTCCAGACGCGAATTGTGACACCGATAGTTTTGTAAGTATTATAAAACCGTCAGTATGCATGCGTCCAGAAGGTGTCAAAGTGTTGCGTTTGTTCTTTAGTCAGTGTACATGTGTTGAAGCGCGGGTTAGGTATGAAAAACGAAAGGAGCACTAAGGACGCAGGTTCGACCTCTCAGCTGTGCCCTGAATTCTACAGGCGACATAGGCGGCCGCCTAGGGCGCCAACTTCTGAAGGGGCGCCGACTTGCAGACCATTTCACTTTGCCTCGGACGGGGGGCGCCGGCGGTGATACTGACTAGGGCGACACGTCGGCTAGGACCGGTACTGGCTATACCCCATTAATTCACCATAAGCATGTAATATTTATCTTATATATCCTACATATAGACCTATATATCGCTCTGTCTATTAACAATGTACACTACGAATTATCGCTCAGGGGTGTATTGCTACAACGAGATCAGAGGGTTAAAAAAAAATCTCACGGCAATTATCTTTCATAACTAGTCACGAAACGCGCGTTTTACATAATTCTATAAACGGATGATTCACAGCCGTCCACTGCGCAGGGGATGAGCATAGTGTGTAATAACCGCCTGAATCTGACAACTTCCTGAGCAAGTGCAAGAGCTAAGTGTGGTTTGTCCCGACCTTTAAGCCTCAATGCCTCACTGTCCCTCAACGCAGGGGAGACATGTGAATTATATCTGGGGCACTCACTTTCTAAATGTGCCTGAAACAGTGGTGTTTGCATTTAGTGGGTCAGTAGCTGTGTAATGCAGAAACCCTCAGCTGGCTGCTCTCGTTTCCTTCTTTGTTTTATGTGTAGGTCTGTTCCATGCATTTCAGGTCTGGATTTTGCAGGTAACCAGATACATGGTGGGTTCTGAAGGTTTTGCCATGTAGGTGTTGTGTCCTGAGAAGCTAATGGATACATTTCTTTGAGAACTGAGCACCCCACAGAAAGCTCCTGTGCTCTGAGTGACAATTCAGGTTCTGTCACTTGCAGTCCTCCAAGGCTCTGGAGGCTTGTCTGAGGACCCGTCCGAAGGGCGTGGAGCTGCCCACGGTTTCCCCAGCCAAGCCTCAGAGCCACGCCGACGTCTGTGACAGATCAGAGCATCAGCAGTTTGAAGGTGTCAGGGGGAATGTGTGAAGTCCTACTGCTGTCTATTTCAGCCATGTCCAATGGTTACCCATCTTCCTAACCCCCCCCCCCCCCCTCAGACATGGTATTTACAGTCACCATTAAATGTATTGCTTTGCCTCGTGATGCGTTAACCGATTACACAGAAATTCTGTTTCTTCTATACCACAGAACTTTTCCTCTGTTTAGAAAATGCCATAAGAGGATCTGGATCAAGATCCCCATGAGAGTGTAGATACAAGATGCCTGGTATGCCGTGGACATTAAAAGGAGTCTTTGTTCTAACAGAATTTTGCTATTTTAACCACTGTAGGAATCAGAATCCTTTCATTTGTTATGTACAAAGTTTGTTTTTGGTGGTGCCATGGGTTAAAAAATCAAACATACTCTCAAGACAGAAATACACAAAACAATAAACAGAATAGATAAAAATAGACATGAAGGATAAGAAGATGAGCTACTAATAAATAAACAAATAAACACATAGGCATTTAAATAAGAGTGAGATGATAATATAGGCTACAGTTTGTGGTGCGTGGGGCCAGTGAGCTTCTCATGGGACCTTGTGTAGGAAGCAATGACCTGGGGCTAAGGAGCTGCTCAGGTTAGATTCAGGTTAGATTAAAAGACGGAGGGGCGAAATGTTTTAGTCTTGGAAGTTGGTGGAAACGGCAAATGCAGGAAGTGATGTTTTTCAGCCAGCTTCCCCCCTGAAGAATCACAAGGTTATACCTAAGTTTTGTGGGCTGTTTTGTGATTGGTCATGACTTTTATTGGGGTGTGCAGACTGGCTGGTTCCCCCCCTTGCAGCACGTCTGGAGTGAGAATGAGGACTGCCTGCCCTTCCTGCAGCGTGCCCAAGATTATATCTCGGCTTGTGGCAGGAAGAGCTTTGTGCAGGTCCTGGATGAGGTCTTCTCTTCCTTCAGGCCAGTGAGTGAATCCCGAGAGCTAGTGGCTTGGCCCAGATTACAGTTGTTTTTCACCACAAACCACTGGTTTGATCTGCCTGTGTTCACACTAAAATCCTTTTTTGTTGAGTCGTTTGGGTTGTGTGATGACTCTGCCTATAATGACGTCATTGTCACTCCTGCTTCACAGCTCCTAGACCTCCCTGACACAGATGACACAGAGACGTTTGAGCAGTACCACACCAATGTGGAAGAGGAACCAGAGACCGACCACCAGCAGCTGGCTGTCAGCCAGCAGTAACACCACCCACATTGACCACACCCACCCACCACTAAGGACCGCCTCCCACTGTCATCCCAGTTCTGGGTTCTCAGACATCAGAATATGCACACTGCAGATATTTGTTTTGTGCTTGAAATCAGGAGTGTGGTGGGAAACATAGTATTCAAATAAAAGAATAGAGTAAAATAGATGGATCATGGCTTAGTGTGTCATAAATGCAAATATTTATATCTAAGCCAAATGGTAATAATTTCGTTCCTAGTCTGTATGTTCTCATGTTAACAGCAGGTCATTAGTTTCCTCATAAAAATATACAGATAATTGTTTTCTTAGTAAAATAACATAAAACACGGCTCTGCTTAGTTTTAATGACGTTTTTTTATTATTTTAATTGGTCTGAGCTTTTAGAGAGACAGACGGAATGTTTGTGAGTGCCTGCATCGTCTGTTATTGGAGCTGAACTGAACAGCACGGGTGTAAGGAAAACTTTGCTATAGTGAGTTTGATAAGACCTTAGAGTGACGCTAGTACCTGTGACTCAAAAAGCATCTTCACCTGCTTAAGTTAGACCTGTTACCAACCTGCTGGAAAAGTGTTACATACAAATGTATCTACTAATATATAAGATGTAGAGGTGTTACAATTTGACAAATTCAAGTAAAATATTAAACCCTTAGAATAACTATATTTATGTACAGTATGGAGTTGATCACATGTTTGTCTTAGAAAGAGTGGGCTTCCTGGTGTGTGTATGAACAGATGCTTGGTGAAAGATATTGAGTAAAAACATGCTCTGCTAATTTCAATTCCCTCCGCATACACGTTTTGTAATGGAGGTGTAGGCCTGCTGCACTTTAATAGGTGTAGGAGGGGTAGGTCTGTCTCACTTTAATCAGTGTAAGAGGGGTAGGCCTATCTCATTTGAATGGATATATGATGCCAAGGTCTGTCTCACTTTAATCTGTGTAGGAGGTGTAGGCCTGTCATACATTAATGGGCGTAAAAGATGGAGGCCTGTCTCACTTTAATGGGTGTAGAAGATGGAAGCCTGTCACTTTAATAGGTGTAGGAAGGGTAGGCCTTTCTCACTTTAATAGATAAATGAGGTGGAGGCCTGTCCCATTTTAATGTGTGTAGGAGGTGTAGGCCTGTCCCATTTTAATGGGTGTAGGAGGTGTAGGCCTGTCCCATTTAATGGGNAGGCCTGTCCCATTTTAATGTGTGTAGGAGGTGTAGGCCTGTCCCATTTTAATGGGTGTAGGAGGTGTAGGCCTGTCCCATTTAATGGGTGTAGGAGGTGTAGGCCTGTCCCATTTTAATGTGTGTAGGAGGTGTAGGCCTGTCCCATTTTAATG